ACACTTACTCACAGGCTTACTTACAGGCGCTTTATTCACATGCGACTTAATCATCTATTTATACTAGATGGCTAATACTAAGATAACTATATATTGCTACTTTCTAGAAAATAGTCTAGCTAATAGATAAAGTTTATCTTTTATATGGATAAGCATTATTAACAAGATAAACTATAATTCCAGCTGTTGATTTGTCATCTTCAGCTGTCATTATCAATGTGATGAATTCATCCTTATCTTCAAATCTTCATTKYAYRCTTGGATGAATACTTAGAAAATCTTCTAAGTGTTTGTCTGTCCAGAGCATCGATGAGAACGTATCATCCATCGGTCTTCTGGTTGAACTTCGTCCATCGATCCTCTGGTTGGTCTTTCCATCGATCCAATGGTCTAACTTCGTCCATYGGTCCAATGGTTGTTCTTTCCATCGATCTTCTGGTTAGTCTGTCCATCGATCCAATGGTCGAATCCAGACTTAGTCGTTTCTGCCTTGATGTCTTCATTGGTCTTCTGGTTCTTCATCACTTGTTTGTTTTTCATTACTTTTTACATTTTGCATTGTGGGGTTTAATAATCTCCCCCTAAGTAATGAAATAACAAAGTCTAATCTAGATACATATGAAGAACAGACACAAATCTAGAAGAAAAACATCAACTTCCAAGTTTTCATTTGATGACAGAAGATGGGGTGGTGATGGTTGCATTGGTGCAATGGATGGAGATGTATATGCAGCCAGCGGATGGAGATGTATATGCAGCCGCCGCCTGTGTCTCCCCCTCACGAGGTCCAAGACCTTGATCATCGGGGTCTTGGTCATTATGGTGTTGTCGTTTGCTTGGGCGGCTGATCGAGCATGAGGCGCAAAACTGTATCAACAAAGGCCTGGAACTCAGCCTTGGTGACCAGATCGGCTAGGGGGGTAACCTTTACAGCAATGGATGCTGCAGGTTGTGCCTCTGTTCCTGAGGCACCTTTTTGGCCTTGTGTGAAGGTAGGCCTCGAAGGGCTTCCATCATATCCTTGATAGCCTTCGAGAGAAGAACTATCTCGTGATGTTTGGACATCCTCTTCCTCTTCTTCAGCTTCAGAGGCTGAGTAAGTGAATCAGATGTGTGTACCCTTTGGTAGATCAAATACCGAGGGTAGTGGTGCACGAAATGAAGATCGCTCTGAATGATCTATGGGTTCAACATTAGAAGTAACGAAAGCATTTGTGTGTGTGAGAGGTTGTGGCGAGCCCTAAGGCGAAGGGGCTCTTATCTCTTCATCACCTCTATGTTGAGAGAGGGGTGATGGGGTATGAGATTCCTCGGATTGTTCATCTCCAGAGGCTCGAAGGATGGCCTCTGGATGGCTAGCTTGGGTTTGGATTGGACTGGGTCGTCCTGTTTCAATATCCCTTTGGCTTTGATCGCCAGGAATAGTGGATGTGGGTGCCCTTTGGGTAGTACGTAGGGAAATATGTTGGTGAGGGCCGGGGGAAGCTCGATGGTTGTGCTCCCTCGCTTGGAGGGGGGTGACGGCTCTAAGTGCTCCAGGGTAGCTGCCCTCGGTTTTTGGGACAGCATGGAGCGTTCATAGGCTTGGCGTATCTCACTTGTTGATGGAATGACAATGAGCATAGCCCTTGACAGCGGTCTGTTGATGTTGTACCCTTCCTTCCAAAGGGTTGGGCGGTGTCCTTGCACTTTGTAGACCGAGGTGTATGTCTCTGTTGCGGGGATTTGTGGAAGACGTTTAAAAAAATGGAATTTAAAATCTCATCTAATTGTAAGATTAATACTAATTACGAAGTTTTGGTCTTCTAAAAATTGATGTTATAGTTTTTAGTCACAAAAGCTGCAATTTTGTATAATCTTTTAA